TAATTGGCCATATATGTGTGGGTTTATATCTGGGCTCTCTATTCTGTTCCACTGGTCTGTGGGTCTGTTCTTGCGCCAGTACTAAACTGTTTTGATTACTGTGGCTTTGTAGTAGAGCTTGAAGTTGGGAAGCGTAATACACCCCACTTTATTCTTCCTTCTCAGGATTGCTTTGGCTATTCGGGGTTTTTTGTGGTTCCATATGAATTTGAGAACTGTTTGTCCCAGTTTGTTGAAGAATGCTATTGGTATTTTGATAGGGATTGCATTGAATCTGTAGATTGCTTTAGGCAGGATGGCCATTTTGATTCTTCCTACCCAAGAGCATGGGATGTATTTTCATTTATTAGTGTCTTCTTTAATTTCTCTCATGAGTGTCTTGTAGTTTTCGGGGTATAGTATTTCACTTCCTTGATTAGGTTTATTCCTAGGTATTTTATTCTCTTTTTTGGTGCAATTGTGAATGGAATTGTTTTCCTGATTTCTCTTTCTGCTAGTTCATTGTTAGTGTATAGGAAAGCAACAGATTTCTGTGTATTAATTTTATATCCTGCAACTTTGCTGAATTCAGATATTAGTTCTAGTAGTTTTGGGGTGGATTCTTTAGGGTTTTTTATGTACAATATCATGTCATCTGCATACAGTGACAATTTAGCTTCTTCCTTACCAATCTGGATACCTTTTATTTCTTTGTGTTGTCTGATTGCCGTGGCAGCTTGCACTTTCATCCTTAACAGATTTTTTTCACTTGAGGTAAAATTCACACAACATAAAATTTAAAGTGAACAGTCAAATACATTCACATCAGTCCGCCCCCTTTATCTGGTTCCAGAATGCTGTCTTCACATGCTGGTGTTGCAGATGGGACTTCCAGTACTATGTTGAACCGTGGAGCTCTTTTAAATTGCAGCCCCCACTCCAGGAAAGTGAGGGATATATAAATATTTACCCTACCTTCACCTTCAATAATAAATATGAATCCAAATACTTTGAAATTCTCCCAGTGTTGTAACTGGATGAAGTGGTGGAAACTGAGGGATTGCAGACACAGGGGAGTGGACGGTGGGGTGACAGAGCAGCAGGGGGGATACCTGGCACCCTGTGCTGCACACAGGCTGAGGGTTCTGTCTGACGCAATCCACAGGCTTCATGAGGACAGAGACACCCACAGGTGTTACCTACCTGGGACCCTCATGCCTAAGCCAAGGATGGTGGCCCTCAGGCTGATCTGTCAGTTAAATGCCTTCCTGATGTGCCTACTTTATGCCCTGGGGACACATGCAGGTGGGGACACCATCCTTAGACTTCTCAGAAACTCCACATATGAGGCTGCACTACTGTGATTTATAAGAAATACTATTTGTCTTTGCCCTCATTTCTGTCACAGAGCCCCTGAAACCCTTGGAATCCCTAAGATGAGAGTTATGAAGAGGCGACCTTTGGAGCACCTGAGGGTGGGGCTGGTTGCTAGGGAACCAATCACATGATTAGAGGGTTGAACTTTCAGTCCAACCCTGACCACCAGGGAGGGGAGGGGCTGGAGGCTGAATCAATTGCCAGTGGCCAGTGAGTTATCCATCATGTGTGTGTAGTGAAGCCAGTGAGTTATCCATCATGTGTGTGTAGTGAAGCTCCATAGAAAACAAAGGGACAGGTCTCAGAGTGCTTCCGTGTTGGAGATCTGGGAGAGATTTGGGAAGAGTGGTGCCTGGAGAGGGCAGGGCAGCTCCACCCCTCCCCCCACCTGGCCCTCTGCATCTCCTCAGTCTGGCTGTTCCTGAGTTATGTCCTTTATAATAAACCAGTGACCTAATGAGTAAACTGTTTCTCTGAGTCCTGTGCTCTGCTCTAGCTGATCAATGGAACCCGAGGAAGGGCTGCAGGAATATCTGATTTATAGGTTGGTCAGTCAAGTCCAGGTAACATCCTAGAGTTGTGTTTAGCATCTGAAGTGTGTAGGGGGACGTGGAGGGGTGTCTCGTGGGAGCAGCCCTCAAACTGTGGGCTCTGACAATGTCTCCAGACAAATCATGTCAGAATTGAGCTGAATTGTAGGACGCCTGGCTTGTTGGTATAGGGACCCCCTCTCTGCCAGCACACACACACGCACACATTGGAATTAGGTACAAAACCTTTAGAGGCTCAGAAGGAAATGTGCTTCTTGAAAAAAAAATCGTTTGCAAGAGTTTGAGTAAAGGGGCATTTTCATCTCAATCCTCATGTAGGCAAGAGAGAAAATTGTGAACAAGATGTAGCTTATCCTGCCATTGTTATGTCGTATGTAACCTTGATATTTTTTAAATAAGTGGGAAGAGAACATCAGGAAACCTTACATTTCTGATATAGCTCAGCTTGCACTTTCATCCTTAACAGATTTTTTTTCACTTGAGGTAAAATTCACGCAACATAAATTTTAAAGTGAACAGTCAAATACTTTCACATCAGTCCATCCCCTTTATCTGGTTCCAGAATGCTGTCTTCACGTGCTAGTGTTGCAGATGGGACTCGGGGGACATTTGGGGAGGGAGTTGGCTGCAGTGTAAATGAGCAGTCCTGTGAGCTGACTGGTCGCAGCCTCTCCTCAGGGGCCTGCATCCAAGCTGAGAGTGGGTGGCACTGGGCACCAGGACGCGGGACCACACGAGAGCTCTGACCCAGGGGGCCAAGGTGTCCTGAGGCTGGCAGAAGGGGCACGTGGGGTGGGGGACTCAGCCCCAGCCTGGGGGGTGCCCAGGGGCTGTTTAGGCTGTTGTGCCCCTCAGAGTTGGTCTGAAAGGGCAGAAATGCCAGAGGGGGGAGGGACAGGAGTATCAGGGCTGACATGTTGAGAGGAGAGAGCTTACTCTGAGGCAGTGTTTTACTTTTGTTTAAAAAAAAAGTTGTAGTTCTTCAAAGCTTGACGAGTTGCAAAATGCTTCTACCAGGCCTCCCCTTTCGTGCCTGTACCAGACTCATTTTTCTTTTGAAGTTTTATGAACGTTTAATGAGAATGTTTATAATAGAAATAAGAGCATGTACTGAATGTGAGCATGTGTGACATTTATAGATGTCCACGAGTCCTTTGAATTTTGCAGACCCTACAAGGCAAGTACACACATATATGTGTTTATAATGTGTCTGTTGCTTAGGCACATATGCACAGGACTATCCTGGTCTGCATGCATAAGTGACATATACTTTGCACCCCAACTTGTGCAAAAGAATGCGTGCTGGTGAGTGGTCACCCCAGATAACTGCATTGTACCCAGCAGTCCCATATTAACAAAATGGTAAAAGAAACGTTGCTGGCTTCCAGAGATTTAAACATCCCTGGAGGGCGGGTGCTGGCCAGCACGCAGTTGGCAGTTTGCCGAGATGAAAGCATTCATTCACTTGAGTGGTATGCAGCTCAGAAAACACAAGATGTTGGCATTCTGTGCTGACACCTCATCCACAGAACTGGCGGGCTTGGAAGTGTCCCCATGTGAGCCCACCATTTCCCAGCATGATGAATGCTGGTCTTTGTTGGCTCACCCTGGGTTTAGAGAAATCTTAGTTTTTTCTAAATTTATTTAAATTGAATCATTTCATCCCCCTCTAGGTTGGGGGGACTGTTCTAGAAGTTACTCTGATGTGCTACGAGCCAGGGTTTGGTGTTGGAGCCAGCCCTGGGCTTGGTGGCAGGCATGGGGTAGAGCGTGGGGTGGGGGAGTCTCAGAGCTGCCACCATATACATCTTGCACATGTGATAGGACCTCCTCAGATATCTTCTAAACCTAAGCAAAAATAATAACAGCTGTCCTATGCGTGCTGAGGGACAGTGTCGGAGAAGTGGAGGAAGATTTTAGCTTGTGTATGTGGTAACATACCACAGATTTGCCATGAAAGAAGAGTTTCCAATTCCGAATGCACTTACTCATGAAAGCGTTTCTAAAGTCCTGTCCATTTTCAAAGTTGTGCTGTCCTGGGACTGCAGAAGTTGGGCCCGTCTTGACCCTGATGAGAGTCATAGGCCAGCTTCCTCCCATGGCGGCACGTGGCAGAGTCCTTGCCTCTCTGGCCTGGGCAGGAAGGAATGCTGTGGCTGGGCCAGCGCCCTAGAACAGGAGAGACCTGACAGGAGGAAATGTGCAGCCAGCAGTAAACCCAGAGCCTTGTCCTTGGAGGCGCTGACCTAGGGCCTCTTGCCATTGTTACCTTCCTTACAGAGGCCCCCGCATCCCAAAGATTAGGGATTGCGTGAGGGGAAAGGGTCAGACCTTGAGCCACTGAGGCGAGTGAAGATGTAAACATGCGCCTGCCTCCCTCCCCCTGTTACGGGCCGTGGCCCACCCCGTCAGAGCCTTTGTGGGGTTCACAATAGAACCTGGTACCTCCCAGATTTCGGTCCCAGCCAAACACCCCACTTAGGTAAAGAGACACAGTCTGGTTTAAATCCTATCATGTTTTAGCGTGTCATACACACATGGTCTAGCATGCTGGAGTGCGCCAAGTGTATTCATGGTCATGCCTAGATGGAGGCGTTCTCTACTTTTTGGGCACTTATTACATGCTGTGCACTTACACACGTGCATATGTAGACAAAGAGCAACTTTACAAAATGCCAAAACCAGAGAAATGAGAATTCCAGTGTGGAGAAAATGAAAAGCCTTCCCAACACTTCAGGGTACAGCTCAGTGTGGCTTTGTGGGGTGAGCTGTGTGCACCCTCAGGTCTTGGTCCGAAACCAGGCCAGATGGACAGTGTGACAGGCCACTGGGGTTTGATTTCTGAGGGGCGTGAGGTTGGGTTCCTGGGAAGTCCCAGTGTAACTGAGGACGTGGGTTCGCTATTGTTTGTTTGTAATCCCTTCTCTGCAAAAGCAGCCCAGAGCAGAGCCTCCCTGCAGTGCAGGCAGTCAGGTGCTCTCTGGGAAAGCAGGACAGGGTGTCAGACCGTGAAGAAGCTGAGTTTATTCTCCTTCATTCATGTCTCAACCGCAATAAAGAATTGAAAGGCAGAGACACGATAGTGAAGCAAAGCGAAAGTTTTATTTGAATACCCTCCAAGGGAGGAGTGAGCCGGAGTCAGGGTAGACAAAGGCCCTGAATTTTTAGAGAGGGCCTATTTATCACAGCCTAGCCAGGAGGCATTTCTTTGACAGGGTGAGGTAATTTGATTGACAGCTCTAGTTATACACCCATTTTCCTCTTGACTTACATGTCTATTTCCAAAATGCACACAGAAAAGCCCATGGGAGTGAGTGGAGGATCACAGTCCTTGCTGAAGACACATTCGGGGTCACTGGTGGCCTCCTTCCTGTGGCGCTGACCCATCACCAGTTTTCAGGAGTCACCCCCTTTCCCTGAGGCAGCCTCCATATAAGACGTCTGACACTCTCTGCTATGTCAAGTCCAAGATCCTAAGAAGAGATGTCCTGCAGACACCTAGATTGTGGGGTAGAGAACAGTCTTGGATTCACTTCACTGAGTGGATACCAGGCAGGGTGGGGCGCTGTGAGGGGACAAAAGCCCTTAAGGACCCTTCAGGCCAGGGGGCATATTGGGCCCAGGCACTGCAAAGAGTGGGCCAGACAGAATTATGCCTTGGGAGGGTGCAGGCCCCTCTGGAGGCACAAGGAGGCAGGTGAAAGGGAGGCTGCATGCCAGCCACGTGCCCTTTCCAGACACCTAGGCCACCTGTGTGGTGTCCTTGGTCCCCACCCCCGTTCCCTGCCCTCTCATATTCCCCAGCCAGCCAAATCTTTCTGAATCCTCTTCCTCTCTTCCCCATTTCCTCTGTTCTCACCCACCTCCCTGGCTTTTTCCCTCTGCAGTCTGGCTGGCATAGCCAGCCCACTCCTCCCCACAGTCCTCCCCCAGCGCAGCAGTTTCTCACAGCCACACATCCCCCTGGGCACTGGTTGTGTTTGGCCTGTTGACTCCCACCTGCACTTGAATATGTTCTCGGGGGCGAGATGGGCCTGTAGAGGTCAGGGGCTGGATCGGGTCTATGGTCAGTCTCCCTCTCTTAGCCCTGGAACTCTTCGTTTTGGTCATCGTGAAGCTGTAGGCATCTGGCATAGAGAAGGTTCTGGATAAATATTCATTTTTTCTAATAAGTTAGTAAGTGAATGAGCAGGAGAGAGAAGCCTTTTACTGAGGGAAGGGCTTGGTTCCAGCTGAAGGAGGGGAGGGAGGCAAAGGGCCGCCGGCGCCTGCCAGGGAAGGTCCGTGTTGCCCACATTGTCTGCTTGTGACCCTGACTCCACTAAGCTGATGTGGATGACCTTCCAGGCGCCCTGTGAGGTGTCAGCCGGCAGGTACCCTGGTGACCCAGATCCAAGCTGCTAAAGGTCATAGCAGTTTCAAGGGACAAGTTTCTAACTTTTTATCAGCAGAATTGCTGCTGCTTGGAGCGCATCCTTGAAATTCATGGCCTCAGCTCAGCTCCTGTTGCTCTGGCCCAGCAGAGAGGGAGAGGCAAGCAGATGGTCTCCAGAAGGCTCACTGGCATGCACAGGGTCCCACCCACTGTTGCCCTGGTCAGGGAACAGTTGGACATAGCAACACAGAGGCAGAGTTTCCGAAAGCAGGGGCTACCCCAGACCCATCAGGACCATGGCGTCCAATGGGCACCAAGGGAGGACCTGTGCTGAGCCCTTCCTGGGCCTAGCAGTGTGGCCGTCGCCTTCCTCTCTGCTCAGGGAGTGATGGGCTGTGGAAAGGCCCATCCATTTGCCACTGGCTGGGCCTGCTCTGAGCCACGGTCAGGCATTTCTGACAGATGCTTTGCAGGAGCTGCTACCCTTCAAGCACATAAACAACCAGGAAGAAGTGCCTTCTCAGACCTCTGCGCAGAGGGGCCTGGAGAGCTTCCTGGCCCCTAACGTGAAGCAGTGGCCCAAGGGTTCTGGGCATGCCTGTCTCCCCTGGTGAGCTAGGGGCATGTAACTTTGAGCTTTCACCAGGTTGATGAGCAGGTCAGAGGGTCCTGCTGGTGCTGGGCAGGGGGCAGCTCAGTTCGGTGTAGCTGGCAGCATTTCTGGAAGCCTGCATGTGTGTGCTCCTGGCCCCACTGTGGTGCGCTGAAAGCCGTCTGCGCTAAGAGGAAGAAAGGAGCATCACAGGAGGGACACAGGACCTTCTCTTCAGGGCAGACTTCAGGGGAGATGGCATCAACCATAGGATCTGGTGACCTGTGAGGTAGCAGAAGGGAGGAGTGCCCACTCTGTGCTGTGTGTGGTGGGTGTCAGCTTCATGCACATCTGCCCTTGAGAGCTTCAGTCTCTGAGGCTGCAACCACAGAGCCCCTGTCCTCTGCTGCATGGACTTGTTACAGTCAGACTTCAGGCCACAGGGCATGGAGCACATACCTCCACCTGACTCAGGGGTAGTGTGCCAGGTCCTGTAAAAATGCAGGATCATTTGAAGTGGGTTTTCAAGAGTGTGTAGTTCTTCATCAGTTGGCATGGGGGTTGGGGAGGGGTTGGCCTCCTAGAGGGACAGCCATCAGTAGAGAAGAGAGAAGAAAGAGGCAGTGTTTTGAGACCTGCCAGCGCCTGTTGGAGGAGTAGGCTGCCAGCCAGGTGGAGTAGGCTGAGTTGGAAAGAGACTCTGCAAATGGAATCTGGGCACACACTGGTGTCCACTGTGGTCAGGAAGAAAACCTGCAGGGATGGAGCAGGAGGAAGTCCCTGTTGACTTGGGCAGGGATGGAGGGAAGGCTCTTGGGGCCAGTGTGGGGGACCGGGACCAGATTGGAGGGGAGCCCCTGTGTGGGGTGGGGGAGGGAAGCGGGTTTGTGCATGGGAGTAGAGAGCTGACCAGGGAGCCCTGTGGTGCTTGGAGGCTTCTCTGCTGTGAGCCTGGGATGGGGACCACGGAACTGGGGTCTGCTTTGGGGCAGGCCCAGGAAGAGCAGGCCTCCACCTCTCTGGGGGTCTTCTCCCAGGGGTCACTGGGCCCATTCATGCGCGCTTCTTCTCCCTTGGGTGATGCTGGCCCTGGGATAAACGGAGCAGTGGAAGGTTTCAGCTGGGAATTTGCGAGAGATCAAAAGGAGGGAAGAGAAAAAAATGGGAGAAGTAATGGAAAGGCAGCAAACCGCGCGGGGAGCGAGGCGAGGCCACTGCGGTCCGTCCGGAGGCACAGACTGGGCAGGCCGCCCGCCACAGCCCGGCCGACCGGCAGCCCCGAGAATTCCTTCCTCGGACGAGCTCTCCCTGCGGCTCTGAATGGGCCTCTTCGGAGGTGGCCGCCCCCGCCCCGCCCCGGCCCCCCCGGGACGCCGGAACCCGGAGTCGCCCTGCCCCAGGGGTGGGGGGCCGCGCTCACACACTGGGCCGCAGGGGACAGCCCGCGGAGAGCCTGCCGCCCAGCCCGCCGCTTCCCCCGCCCTTCCAGGGACTGCACAGCGCCCCGTGGCGCCCAGGTAAGCGGCCCTCCCGTCCCCGTCCGGCCGCAGCCTCGGCCGCTGAGACCGGAGCCCCGCCGTGGGGGCGGGGGCCGGGCGCAGACCCGGGGGCAGCAGCGGCCGTGGCGGAGGGTGGCTCTGTACCGCGTCCCCGTCACTTGGCGACGGCCCTCAGACCCTACGGCCCGGGACGGAACGCCGCAGCCCCGCGGGAGGGCCCCTCCTCCCGGCAGAGGGCCCGGCTTTGTCTTCGCCGAGCCTCCCTGCAGCGGCGGGCGGGCGAAGCCGGCCTCCCAGCCGTGCGGCTCCGGGGCCGCTGCCTCCCAGCGCAGCACATTCTTCCGCTCAAGCCGAGAGTGCCCGCCCCGTCCCGGGGCTGTGTGGTCTGCACCCACCGGCGGCCCCCGGGGCTCCCGCGCGGCCTCCTAGGACAGGCAGTGGTTGGATTTTTCTGTTTTGTTTTTAACTAAATGCTAAAAGCAAGTGGGAGGAGGAAGGTCAGGGTCCCTAAGGGGGCGCCTTGCCTACTGCGGGAGCACGGAGCCTTCCTGAACAAGCCCGTGGCTTGAGACAGGACGCGCGGTCCTGCGGTAACCTGCTCACGGCTCGTCGCCCGAGCTTGGGACAGATGAGTGTCTGGGACCCCCAGCCGGTATCTCCGGGGTGAGCGGCGGAGTGGGTCTGGCTCCGAGGGTGCATGTCCGCCTGGGCGTGCGTGCCAGCGGATCTGCTGGTGTCGGCTTTCTGCTTACTCTGGGCTAACACGGTGCTTTAGCCGGGAAGATCTGGAAGAGGAAGATCCAAACGCTTTGTAGCGGAAAGCCTGTGCCATCACCGGAAGGACAAGCCCCTCCGTCTGTTCACCCAGCCCCTTCCAGCCTGAGGGTCTCGCGTGCTTTCCCCCTCTGCAGGGTGCGGGGTTCTCTGCCACTGAACGGAAGATAGCTTCTGCTCCACTGTTCCTGTCCTTTTCATGCAGTTTATACACAACAGTAATTTCCCACGAACTCCCTATGTCTATTGATATATTAGAAATTGTCTGGTTAGGATGATAATATTTTTCAAACTCCAATAGTGAGACTAGAGTGTTTTGATCCACTTATACCAGGAGAGAGCGATTGTCTCCCTCCACTGGCTGGTTGGGATCCCTGAGTGGTGGTCCCCAGCTGTGGGCACCTGTGCCTCCCCAACATGTGGACAGCTGAACAGCAGGTTCCTTGTCCCCTCTGAGACTAGACAGCCTTATGTTGTATTGAGGGGAAGGAGGCAGCTAGCTCCTTGAGGGCAGGGTGGTTATTACACTGAAGCACAAACTTTGCTTGGATCTCCCTGATGGGAGGCAGGGGTGTCTTGTGAAAAGCACATGGCTTTTCAGGTCAGAGATGAGGTGGCCTTCTTTGAACATGTTTCTTAACTTCATCAGTCAGAATCTGTTTTTTCATCTGGGAGATAGGGATACATTTGCACAAGGAAACCCTTTTTATGAGGATTAGGTCAGGTAATGCCTACTGTGGTTAGCACAGTGTCCGGCAGACAGCAGGCGCTCAGCAAAACACAGCTATTCTGATTTCCATTGTTCCCTTTATAAAGAAATTTGGTGTGTATGATATAACCAGGATTTTGAAACATTTTTGAGACATCTGTGTTTTAAAAGCCTGCAGCATGGGCATCATTGCTCTGGAAGCAGGATGGAAGTTGGCCATGGGTGGAGCTTGGGCTGGGTGATCGTGGAAGTTCTAGGAAGCAGTTTATGTATTAAGGACTGTTTATCCACAGCAGGCCTGGCTTTTCCCTCTCCTGCCCTTTAGTCCCTGTCCTTGTCCTGGGCTCCTGTTCCGCTTCTTCCCATACTCTAAAAAACCAGTAAATCACATCTTACAGCATAAAGCCACCCAGCCGAGTTTGAATCTGGTCAGGGTGGTGGGGAGGCAGTCTTGGTGGTGGCGGGGCTGAAGGACGTTAAGTGGCTTGTGAAACTTGGTCCTGCAGCCATCAGATGGCCCATCTGGGACTGGCTCTGCGTCCCTTGTCTGTTGGGAATTTCTCCCTGCCCACTGTGCCAAAAGCCCACCTGAGGCAGCCTGCACTCCAGGAGTCCTGCCGTGATGCAGAGGCACCTGAGTCTCAGTTTGCAGTCAGGGCTGGAGGTCCAGGACGCCCCTTTTCAGACCACTCAGTCCCACCTTCTTCTTGCTGGGATATAAGTTAACAAACACTGGATTGAGAAACCAAAGAACTGGCTCAGCTTCCAGTTCTGCCACCAAATAACAAGGTGACTTCTGGCCTGAATGGCACTGTGTCTCACATTTCATAGGTAACTAGCCTCAGGGAGAGCAGGCGGAGGGTCAGAGGAAAAGGTGGGTGGGTACCAGGTAGACTAGGCAAATGAAAGTGATGTGGGATTTTATAAACTCAGAGTGAGAGAGATCAGGGTTAGAACAGGGTGAGGACAGCTGGGCAGAGGACCCAGGAATGACAGCTCTCATTGCTGGGTGATGACCAGTGCAGATAGAGAAGCTTCTAGAATGGAGCCCCTTAACAGCAATGAGAGAATGAGAAAGAAAAGGTCACCCAACAGCAAGATTTGGTCCTGAAAGATGTGAGTCTTGGGGTTCCCTGCCATCCCTGCTGGAATGGGAAGACCATGGTTCACACAGCCAGACACCCCTGGTACTCAGCGGGCTCTGCAGAGGGCACACAGCTGTCCCCATGGCTCTGCCGCCTGCTAACTTTCTGTCATTAGCAAGGTCTTGGTCCCCTTTGTGGCAAATGTACACTTTCCTGGGGAAAATCAAGTCAGAAATAGGGTGGAAAGTAAAGGAAAGTTGGAGTAATAAGCTTCTTGCAGACTGTGTGAAATGACATTTTTTCTTTTTGTTAACATGAAAACTTAAAAATTTATTAAGAGACAACTAAAAAGCAGAGAAATTCCATGTTACTGCATGGGAAGAAAATAACGTCAAGATGTTGAATCTTCCCAACTTCCTTTACGTATTTAATACCGTTGCAGTCAAACTACCGTCAGATATTTTTCCATGAAACTTGATAAACTGATTTAAAAATTCTTGCAGTGAAGGGTCTGGAATAGCCAGGATACCACTCTAAGATAGGAGGACTTGCCACGAGGCCAGAGAATTAAGCCAGCATGAACTGGGACAGAGATAAATTGATCAATAAGGAGATGAAGGTGCAGAACATACCTGCACATGATTAGAATTGTGGGGCAAGAAAAGTGGGTGTGATCAGCAGGGGAAAGAGGGGCTGCTCCATAGACAGAGCTGCTCCATAGACAGACATGTGCAAAATGTCATCTTCATCTGCAAATGTCTTATGTTCTCTTCATTCCTGAAGGATATTTTGCTGCATGTAGAATTTGCAGCTGACAGTTCTTCTCTTTCTATGTAGTTGGGAAATCTGGTGTCGCTTCTTTTTGGCCTCTTTGGTTTCAGATGAAAAGTCTGCTGTCACTCAAATTGCTCTCCCCTCTACATAATTTGTTTTTTCTCTCAAGCTGCTTTTAAGATCTGTTTTTGTGTATAACTTTCAGAAGCTTAATCACAATGTGTGGATTTTTCTTGTTGTTTATCACTTTTGGTTTTTACTTAATTTCTTGAATCCAAAGTTTGTGTCCTTTGCCAAATTTAGGGAGTTTTGGGGCATTATTTCTTTGACTTTCCTTCCATCCCCACTGTCCTCCTCTGCTGCTGGACTCCAGTCACACAAATATTGGATCTTTTGTTGTTTTTCCACAGGTCCCTGAGCTCCTGCTTATGTTATTTTCAGTTGGCTTTGTCTCTGCTGTTCACATGGGGTAAATGCTCTTAGCTCTGTCCTCAAGTTCACTGATCTCCTGTCATTTCCTCTGCTTCTGACCCCATCCAGTGAGCTTCTCACTTCTCTTATTGTATTTTTAAATTCTATAATTTCTTCTTTTTTAGGTGACTTTTATTTCCCTGCTGAGGTTTTCTGTCTTTATTTGTTTCAAGAGAATTCATGATTGTTTGTTGAAGCATTGCTCTGACGCTGCTTTAAGATCCTTGCCAGATAATGTAAACAATCTGATTCATTTGGTATTTTCAGTTATTCGTCCAAGTGACCACTTGCATCTGAGTGATTTTCCTGGTTCTGGAATGAAGAGTGGGCTCTAAATTTTGCTCTGGACTTTTCCTGATATTATGTTATGAGGCTCTGACTTTTATTTATTCTGGTCTTCATTTTTTTCTCCTACCAAGGTGTAGTTTGAAGGCCACATGAATGTTTATGTTCACCTTCCCACCAGCCATGCCTATAGGCGAGGAGAAAGCATGGTGCCAGCTTGCTCTGACTTGCACCCCTGTGTTCAGTCTTTAGGCTGAGTGGGGTGGGGGCCAGCTCACCCCTGGGACCCGCTGACACCTCCCCAGTGGGAATATCCTAAGGGCTACTTCCATCTGTAAGGTGGTGATGGGTGACAGGTCAGCTTTCCACTTGGCACCTGCAGTGAAGGTGGGGTGGGGGGGGTGAAGTGGGGTTCCCATTGGTGTTTGGTTGGAATAGGACAGGTATTGCCAGAAAGGTATTCTGCCTATAGGCCACTCTTTTGTTTGGCTAGGGTTGGTCCTTTGGCTAGATAAGCAGGCTTTTCCTGGAGTGGATTTTGTCTGGGCCTGTTGATGGTTCCAGGATCTGTGAGTGGCTGTGAGGAAGTGCAATGTCCTTCTTCGCTTCCCAGGATTCCCAGGCAGCCGCATCCCTTTCCATCTGTTGGAGTCCTGCGTGCTTGTGGTCATGTGCATCCAGGGTGTGGTTGTACGAGTGAGGACCTGGGAGGCATGGCACTATGCCATGTTGGCTGGAACCACAAGTTGCCAGCCTGTTTTTAGCATTGCTAATTTAGTAAACATTCACTGCACAAACTAACTGTGTGCTGAGAAACTGTGGAAACCAAGGTGAAGTGGGGACTTTGCCAGCTGGCTGGAGAAGTAACCCACAGACACCAAAAGGTGCAGTAAGGGCACAGTAGATAAATCACAAAGTTGATGAGGAAGAGGACTTAGTGGAGAGCCTTCCATAGTCAACCCTTGTGCAGAGTGCGAAGCCTTTAGCTTGGGATGGTGTCCTTTTTCCAGGGCGGCTGGGGTTGAGGTGGGACATGGGCAGAGTTCTATAATAAAAATGCTGAAAACAAAAGAGTATCTATTGCTACCTTACCACTGAAGAATTTGCTAAGAGGCAGAAGGGAAGGTGCATTCCTAAGGCCATAGCTCCAGAAGGAAAACAGACATTTCTGGAAGACAGTCTTACTTTTCATCTCCTGGGTAAAGACAGGAGTGGTGCCTGATGGTCATCTTGTGGGCGACCATAGGGTGGAAACCCCTTGATGACCAGCTCTCCGGAGCATGCCTCACCAGTTGGCTTATGTGGGCAGGGGTGCATCAGCTCACACAGCCCCAAGGTTAGGGGCAGCACTGATCAGCTCTGGCCATGCCTTGGAGACCCGGTCCTTGGTCCCCGTCTCTTGGCTCTGCGTTCTCTGGGAGAGTTCTGCTCAGAGACGGGTTTTGTCCTTGAGGGGGCATGCCGTGCCGGCTCAGGGCACCCTGGGAATGAGAGTGGTTCTCTGGCATTCAGTCCAGGTATGTGGATTATCAGAAATGTGGCTCTGAGAACAGGGTCTTGGGGAATAGAAAGATGAAGCCACATGAAGCTATGGCCCCACCTAGACCAGCTACAGGCCGGATTGTGCAGAGCTGTGGTCAGGCTGAGGACAAGGTGCCCACCACAGGGCAGGCGCTCAACAGGCTGTCCCCCCTGCCAGCCCACCGAGGCAGTGATGTATCTGTGATGCCTCGGTGATTGGAAGCAGCCTCACCTCTGAGGAGGCCACATGCGGCCACAGTGAGGGGTACTACTGGTCACTGCACAGTTTACAGACTGCAGAAGGGCCTCTAGGGAGGGGACTGTGGATCTGATGGGAACACAGTCACCAGAAAGGGGATTTACTTACTGTATGTCTCCTCCATCCTTCAGCCTAAACCTCACCACCTACATAGGACACCCAGTTTTATGTCTCTCATGTCCAGACTTTAACTAACTATTTTATATTCTTCTCTATCTTCTTTCAGTCATAATGCTCCATTCCTGGTGTGCGTGGCTTATTTATCATTTCCCACTTTATTTTTGCCTGTTTCAATCTCAGTCCCCAGAGTTTCCCAGGAGGGCTCCATCTTGCCTCTCATAGCCTGTCAGCCCCGTTCATGGTGGCCATGTGACATCCGGCTGAGACCTTGCCTGCTGGCGCTGAGTGACTGTCTGGTTCTTGCTCCTGGCGCCCTTCTCGATGTCTTCATTTCTCGTCTGTAACACTGTAGTGGTCCCTCCCAGGGGAGCAGACAGAGTCATCCCAGGCTTCTTTCTTCCTGACTCTGGATACAGTGTGGGCACAAAGGCAGCCTCTTCAGCACGAGGTTGCCCACTGTGAACTGCTGCTTAGAAAGATGCCTGGGCTCTTTAGCTGAGGAGTCATCCTCCACTGTGAATTCTGATTTGCTGGTCTTTTTGGAAGAAGGAAATGCATTGTAAAACCAGGTCGGCTGAGTCAATTTTGGGGGAAAAATCTTTGATCCTCAGACTGTTTCCTCTTCCCCCCGACAGAGTAAAATTATCTCTTTAGTTCAGGTCCTCTGGGACAGAGGAATCCTGGGAGGGGGAACAAGGAGCAAGCATTTCAAGGATTGCCTGGTTCTGTCTCCGGATGGCCACTTGACATGAGACCATGCCTCTTGCAGAGTGAACCATTTGCTGCAGAATCTGTAGGGTGCTATCAATTAAATAGAATGTCAGTTGTGTTTGGAGCAGTTTTAATGCTTTCAAAGCTTTGCTTGAAGCCCCAGCCAAGTGCCGACTCACTGGGGGTGTCCCAGCAGCCCTGGGGGTCTCTGTATGGTCAGGGCAGGCCCTCTAATGGGGCCTTAGCCTGTGAGCAGGCTCCCAGCCCTGTGCTCCTCCTGGCATCTGTCCCAGCCTTGTCAGAACTGCCTCCCTTCAAGGCTTGGAAGGAATGATTGGGAGTGGCCTGTGGTCTCCTCAGAGCCATGCTCCGCTCCCCATGCCTGTTTGCATTTCTTGTTTCTTGTCATAGATCATGGTAGGTGCTTTTCATGTCCTGCTCAGTCAATCCTCCTGATGATCCTGGGGTAGATACAGCTTTTATTATCCTACTGTTTACAGAGAGATTCCATTGCCGCAAATCACACCCCCAGTGCTAGGGCCGAATTGTACCCCTCACGAAAAGTTATGTTGAAGCCATAGCCCCCAGGACCTTAGAAAATGACTGTGATTGGCAATAGGGTTTTTGCAGACATGATTAAGGTAAAACAAGGTTATAGGGTGGCCCTAATCCCATGTGACTGGCATTCTGATAAGAAGAGGAGATGAGGACACAGATACACAGAGGGACAGCCACATGAGGGCACGGCACCTATACACCTAGGAGAGGCCTCGGGAGGACCTTCTCTGCCACACCAAGACCTCGGACACTCAGCCCCAGGACTGGGAGGGATAATAGGTATGCATATAAGCTGCCTAGGTGTGGTACTTTGTTACAGCAGCTCCAGCTGACCCATACTCCAGTGTGTGGGAACCAGTATTCTGACCCAGGGAGGCTGGTGCAGGGAAAGGAGCAGGGCTTTGCTACAGAGCCATGGCCAGGATCCCAGGCACTGAGGTGGAGCCCCGCTGCAGTGGGCAGGCCACTGGAGCACCCTTCCAGCCCACATGTGCAAAGGCCCTGAAGCTTCCGTGGCATGTGTCCTTCGTAGCAGCATACCCTGACAGGTTCTTTTGGGGCTAGGCAAGCCTGTTAAGTACCACGCAGGTAGTAATTACTCATAATATATTGACAATTTATGTAGGGGGAGATGTCTGGTCTGCTCACATCATGAAAATTCAGCTTCAAATACTTGGCAAGGGCAAAGAGCCTCATCATGTTCCCCAGGAGGTGTAATGAGGCTGAGATTCGAGTGCATATCTAACAAGGGATTTGTGATATGCTTAAGTTCTCAGGGTGGTTGAGAAGTACTTGGTGAAGATGCGGCCTGGCTGTGGCCCTGGTTTTAGAATCTCAGCAGGGATCATCCCTCAGGAACAGACTTCTGGTTTCTGGAGTTAGGGGATACCTGACACTGGCCGCCAAGGGCCGCAGTCACTCTGTGGGCTGGGCACAGTGGGTGCAGCCCCAAGCACACCAGAGGTTCTTAGAGGTGAGGCCCTGCAAGGATGTCAGGTCCACGTCCACTAACCTCCCACAGGAAATGGGGTTTTCCAGGCATAGTGGGCAGTGTCCGAGATTAGAGGCAAGCTTTGCACCCCAGCCCGCGGTTTGGACCTGACTTTAAGTCTCTGCGGTGCAGTCGTGCTAGCGGAGAGCCCTCATCTGGATTACAGACTCTGCAGGTTCTCCCATCAGCGCTCTTCACTGGGAAAACATCTTTCTTAAAGGCCCACAGCAAAGTCCAGCATGAATCCCAGGTCCTGTTTCTGAAGGAAAGCCAGATGCTGGGAATTCTGCCATAGGGAAGATGGTGCCGAGGCGGCTGTCCTGTGGACCAGCCCGCTTATAGGACTAGACTTACTATTTCTGGAACCCAGACTTGTAACCAGAGTCAGGGACTCAGCATTGCCATGACACAGGCCTGGCACCTGGCAGAGGCTGTGCTCCTGCCATAGCTCACCTGGGTCAATCTTGGGGTTCCTGCTATGTGGCTCTGCTCACTGCCATTGGCCCAGGA